GAACAACCTTACAATAATAAGCTACCGTGATTTCTGCAGACCCAAGGACAACTGTGGTTTGGGCACTAGATCTTTGTTGATATTATGAATACGCCCTAATTCACATTGCTGGAACAGCATAAAGACAACTGCAGTAATGCAGAGCCTTGAATTGCACTGGAAAATATATTCGACATTCGGCTCGGCTGTTCTGCTCGGTCCCTCAGAGGGACTAAGCAGAACAGAAAAATAGTTTAAAAAAGTAAATAGAAAACGATTGTGCGGAGCTAGCAATGACAGCTAGCTCCGCCCAACAGTTTTCTATTGGCCGGCGGTTCTGCTGCCGTCAAAAGAAAAAAAAACTCTCCCGGGCGCTCCCGCTCCCGGCCACCCAGGAGAGAAACACTGCTTTTTCTTTTTTTTTTCTTTATTACTGAACCGAAGGGGTCCAGATGGGCCGAAGCTACAGCTAGATCCTTCGGCAGCTTTGTGAATAGACCCCTATATTTCAATTAGATAGTGTTTATCTATACTAACATTTGTTGTTTAAAACTACTTTGCAAACTGAAACAAAAATAAAAATGTGTTCAATTTTTATAATTTTTGCCTTTTAACAATATAGAAAAATAAATAGTTATTTAAATGCAATATCACTAAAATAAAGGCAAGTATATCCCTTACCTGTATGTCATAAATAATAAAGGCATGTCAAATGAATTGGCCCCTCTCTAAAATATTAAAATGGCTCAGGAGCTGATTAAGAAAAATAAAATAAAGTCATATTGGCCCCTAACTATTATAGTTTTCATTTAAAAGCCTGACACCCATACCCATGTAAACTGTCTGAGCCTAGTCATTTTTTAGTGGAAAGTATCCATAACCGATATCCAGAGGGCCACTCGATATACAGTATACTGCATACATGATACACATGTTGGAGTGTGACAACATCTGCTCCTCCTCTCTACTTCGTCCAATCAGAAAGCTTCTTTTATTCATTGAAAAAAACAAAACAAGATATACTGGGAAAGGGGGGTGGTGCCAGACAAGTGACACGCTGTGTTCAGTGTGCAGACAGGAAACTGCTGCAGCCGCAGACGGAAGATCACGGCTATCACTGTAGGTAACTCCTATAGTGATTTTCAGCATCCCCACCAGTCCTTTAAACATCAGATATAGATACTTGCCTCAAGCAGAGCTGGACTAATTTTCCATAAGTTTCCATAAAACATCATTCCTGGAGTTTCACTTTAACACATTTTTGTTTTACATTTTAGTGAAGCAAAGAATGTGCTTAAAATTAATATTCCACATTTTGTGTTTTTATGGCATTAAATTTCAGAGTGCACCTTAATAACAAGGGGACATGACATCAGACATTATTTTAGTCTAATAATTAAGCATATACATATTAAAAACCATACTCTGTAGAGAATGTGCTTAATTAAAATTAAATATTGCAGTGTTTATTTAATTATTTTCTTTGAAAATTATGGTTTGTTTGCAGCACTTGTGTCAACAACAGAATAATAAATAGTGTGCTGAAAATTGGATAATTGTAATAATTACACTGATTTTGTGCAGGCAGTAAACCTTCTGTTCAGGGGCGCTTGCAATATAAAGAATAACCTTAAAGTGAACCTGTCCCCAGACTATGCACACTAAGGCATTTACATATTCTAAACAAGCAGCAAAGGCACTTTTAACCAAGCCTTCATTTACCATTGTAGTTATAGGCATTGTGGAAGAATTTATGTGGAAAATTCACAAGAAAGGACTGGAATCTTATCTTTTTTCCTTGAGAGCAGAATCTTGGCAGCTTGCCTGCCAGCCTAGAAGTTTAAACAACCAGAAGATGTTCCATTACAGTTAGAAACTAACTGAAACCCTGCTTAAGGGTCTTTGTTGTGATCTTGGAGGATTTTTGAGAATGAATTACTTCTCAGTGCTAGCAGCTAAAGAGGTCTGGGGATGTTTTGTTTTACAACTCTTTTACTGATTGTTAAAACTTTGGGGTCTATTCACAAAGCTGCCATAGGCAGCCGAGTGAATAACCGACCCGAAGTGAAGTGAGCCGAATGCTGTTCGGCTATTCACTTCAGGCTTGAACAGCTGATTTCAGCCTGACACGGACTAAAATCAGCCGTACATCGGCTTGCTGCGGCTGGCTTCGGGTCGGCCAAACATGCTCGGTATGTTCGGCTGACCCGAAGTGCAGAAGGAGTTCGACTCAGCCGATCCAACATCTGAATCGGCAGAGCCGTACCTCCGGCAGGCTACTCGCTGCTGTTCGGCCTATTCTCATAAATGCCGAACATCATCTATGAGAATTCCGCTCGGCTATTCTGCTCGGTACCTCTGTCGTACCGAGCAGAATAGAAAAACAGTTAAAAAAGTAGAAAAAATAAAATAGAAAACGATTGGGCGGAGCTAGCCAATAGCTAGTTTGCTAGTGGCTATTGCAAATTGAAATAGCCAATAGGAATGTAGCTATGCATTCCTATGCTGTTTTTCTTTCTTTTTTTTTTATTCTGACGGCAGGCAACGGCTCCAATGTCAGAAGAAAAAAAAAAAGACAACAGAGCAGGGAAAGGTTTACTCATTCCGGGAGAAAGTGTTTCTCTCCCGGGCAAACGGGAACCGCTATCTATTAGCGGGAGACTGCCGGAGCGTCCGGGAGAGTTGGGCTGTCTGGAGATGAGCGTACCTGGTTACCTTGTAACCAGGGACGCTGATCTGTCTGTGCAAGTGGCCGAAGCCAGCCGTGAGATGACGGCTGGCTCCACCCAGCAGTCAGTAGCAGGCTGTCAGCCGGGCCAATGGCCGGCCGTTCGGGCCAAGCATCGGCTTTCACCTCGGCTCAGTCAAGCCAAAGCATTCGACTTCGACTTCGGGAGCTGTACGGGCTATAGTGAATAACCCGTACAGCAGCCCTTCGGTTCTACTGAACCTAAGGGGTTCTGGGGTCGAAGCTAGCTGAAGTATCAGCCAAAGCTACGGCTAGATCCTTTGGCAGCTTTGTGGCTAGATAGACCCCTATGTAAATAGTTTAAAGGCATAGTCCACCTTTGTGACCTAGATTTAGGGTGAAACATGGGTGCATTAATTCATCTATTAAAAGATCTACATTATTATTACATAATTTTACACAGCTCGTTGGGTCCAGTCTTGTTTGCAGCTATGACAGGATGAACAAAGAAAATCCCCGGCCTTTCTTTTTTATCATCCAGGGATAGCTGTAAAGCACCAGTCTACCTACTCCTTTAGTCAACATTCTTATGAATTGAGAGCCACTTTAGCCTTCCTGATTGTAATGTAGGAGAGGTATCCCCAATATACCCATTATAGACTCTTTGCTGTCTTATAAAAAAAATCTTGATGGAGAACAACTACAAGAGGTCTCTCAGTGCCACCAACCAGGTTCAGTCCTTCGTTGGGAGGATTACATTGATCTGTGATACAGTAGAGAAAAAGAAATGTACACACCTTAGGCTTCAAGAAACAAAGCCTCCCAGTCCACATGGAAGAACCTCTGTGAAAGTGGGCAGCAATGAATTACTCTTATTAGGGTTGTCCGAGTAGACTTTCTGATGTTATCACAGTTGCAATATTTCTGGATAGCAATCACTGATGTCACCTTTCTAGCCTTATTACATTTTTATTATTTTGTATTAAAAATTTTATTTTTACTTTTCTGTCGGGGGCTCTGGGAAATATCAGGGGGCTAAACAGACCCCTGATATTTCCCTTTTAAAATAGAAACAGAGATTGAGGACACAGAGTCCTCAATCTTTTTTTCTGCAGGAAAACAGGAAACATCTATACTGAGTGCTCCTGTCCATTTATAAACTGTGGAGATAGTATGTTTACCATGTCCACAATCATGAATGAACAGGAAGGGATGTAGAGCACTTCCTGCTCATTCATAATGGGGACATACTATGTCCTTAATTATTTAAAAGCAGCCAGCAATCGGCCAGACAAGAAAAATTTCAAAAATACATTAAATGATTTGTTATTGAATATTTGGTTGCAAATTCCTGAAATTCAGCATTAGCTATGTGAATTAAATCTTGTTGATTGAATTTGTTTTTACTTTTATAATCTAGTTCAGGGCTAGGCAACCTTGGCTCTCCAGCTGTGCTGAAACTACAAATATCATCATGCTTCTGCCTCTGGGAGTCATGCCTGTGGCTTTCAATGCCTTATGGGATTTGTAGTTTCAGCACAGCTGGAGAGCCAAGGTTGCCTACCCCTGATCTAGTTATATAGGAATTGCCCATATTATTTGTAGCTTAAGTAATAGATGAAAACACAGCCTTTCTTATGATACAGATAAATTAATGGCATTTAGTCAACTTCAAATCCACTGTGCCCTCATTTTTTTAAAGGATAAATCTCTTAATCTTCCTAAATTCAACACCAGAAATTTTGATTAAACTCGTGAAGTGCTCTCCAAATTAATATAACTGTTCCTCAACGACTAGAAAGTTATTATGAAGTGCTACTTTCCATACGCTATAGAGTGTGCCCAAATTATGAATGCAGTCGCCAATAAACTGAACTTTACAGCCTTGGTCATCTTCTCCATCTAGTTCCGTCATTGCTATACTCCTTATCCTCCTTTGGTGTTACTCTAAGGGGAACATAAAGTGGTTTTGTATTTATTTTTTTACATAATAATTAATATATATA